AGTAGTAGTAGCAGCAGCCTCAGGAGGAGTAGTAGTAGTAGTAGTAGTTGTTGTTGTTGTTGTAGCAGTAGTCGTAGTAGTCGTAGTAGTAGTAGTAGTAGTAGTAGTAGTAGTAGTAGTAGTAGCGGTAGCAGCAGAAGCCGCAGTTCCAGCTATAACTGTAAATACATAAATAAATAGCAGCACGAATGCAGATGAACAGATGTGTTTGCAATTACAAACATCCAAGAAAAGGAGCCACGGTTGGGCATCTGTTTGTTTAAGACTAAAGCAGCGCCTAAGAAACACAAAGGGAAACCATAACAAAGGCTGAACCGTCAGCTCGTAGAGCCCGCTCATGTTGGGCCCCGACAGCCCAATTCAGCCACAGGTGAAGCCGCAAGCGCCTGCACAAATCTGGCTTAGACCCGTTTACGCTCAAGTAAGGGTTTAAACCCCACAATTAAACTAAACCCACGAACCCAGTGTAAACTATGACGCATCAGAAACCCTCAGCAGAAAGATCTGAGTCCTCAGCAACCTAAACCGTTGTCTGAAAGAACCCCTGAGAGCCACCCCTGCACAATCTGACTGGTTGGTGCAGGACTGGAGGAGAGAATATGGGGACTGTAAGCGATGATGTAGGGACTATCACAGGGATCCACTCTCCCACTTCCCCGTCAGCACAAGTCAGAAATCTTACTACACCTAGCAAAGACCATCGAATCATGAGAAACAGCATGCTGGAGCCTCAGACATTAGGGTTGGCAGGTCAGTGGGCAAAACCTTATAAATCCTGTGACGCCTTCTGCAATCTATTGAGAAATGGCCGTAATTTTGAGCTACGGGGGTCCTTCACAATGAGATTGAAGGTCTATTCCTCAGTTAGCATGCCCTTAAGTTAGAATGGTCTTTCCCCCTACACCCTCAACCCCTAAACCCCCAAATTCTAGTTCACCTACACCTAACCCCTAAACCCCCCTAAACACCCTGAGGGCCTTGGTGAAGGCAGCAAAAAGAAGAGCACGCGACCAACCTTCGGACCGAGCCAGGCAAGACTTGACCTATAGCGGCCTTTGACGATGAGAGTAGGACTCGTTTGCAGGGGTCCTTTACAGGGTTACACTATAAGGGTATAGTATAGCGGCTTTAAATGATGAGAGTAGGGCTCCTTTAGAGGGGTCCTTTAAGGGGCTACTGGTCTACTATAAAGGTATAGCATAGCGGCCTTGAAAATGAGAGTAGGGCTCCTTTTCAGGGGTCCTTTCAAGAGATACTATAAGGGCATAGCATAGGGCCTGAACAAGGAGAACAGGATTCCATTAAAAGGGTTGCTGCAAAGGGTTGTAACAGGGGGTTCGTAATATAGCATATGGCAGCCTGAATAACGAGAGGAAGCGTTCTATGGGGCTCCCTTAGAGGCCAGAAGGGCTAGCAGAACTAAGGGTGCAATACAATATAGGGGCCTGAATCACTTCGAACACGAATGTGGGGTTCCTGGTGCTATGCCATTACGGATGACATAGCGGGAGTTCTTGACTAGCAGTGTTCCAAACCCACCACTTAGGGTATAGGGTACGGGTTCAGCATTGGGTTTAGGCTGTCGGGGCTATGTTTGAAGCAGTACTTCGGGTCTGGGGCCTCGGTTTGAGGCAAAGAAGATTACTATGATTGTTTACCAATCCTATTCTAGCCATGGCTTTCGGTTTAGTTCTTAAGGCTGTTACTACGAAGGTTTAGAACTACTAAAGTGTTCCTATGACGAAAGCTACCGGGGTAGAGAGAAAAGGCATCACCGAGGTCATGGCGAAGTCGCCCAGCAGCTTGAACAGGACAATTTCCTGGAAGCAGGCTAAAATGTGATTGCGACATGACTGTACTTTCTTTGCATCTCTCTCTCTCTATATATATATATACATATATGAAATATGTGCTACAATATCTACATATATAATCTATCGATCTATCTATCTATCTATCTATCTATCTATCTATCTATCGTATGTGTATAAATATACATGTGAAATATAGTACACATAACTAACTTGAGAAACGCGTGTACTAGGCTATCTGCTCCGCATAGTTACTTGACACGAGGGCCTCCTCACGTACACTCGAAACCCCAAAGCCCCACTCCAACCTGAAAGACTTCCTCACCCGCATGAGAGATCTTAATCTTCCCCAATGCCCAGAGGTTTAGGTTCTAAGGTCCCCATGCCCACAGAAGTCAAGCTTCCCGACCACTACCAGTTCATAAGACCGGGTTCTTGCTAAGGAACTTGTAAGTAAAAGGGGCTTCCGTGGTATGATAACTTGAATAAACAAGAGCCCGTAAAGAAACCCAACACGCTTGAATGACGGGCCTTGGCAAACTAAGCTAAGATTCCTACAGAATCCCTTACATACTTGCTACATACCCTTACAAAGCCCCTATGCAACCTCACTAAGACCCTATTAAGCCACAGAAACCCGAATAGTTTGTCTGGCAAACCCTCGTCAAGCACCTACGCGCCACAGTGATAACCTTACTAACATAACATACTTACGAATGAAATAGTACCCCAGAAAGGTTAAAGCTAAAGGTTACCTACTCTACTACTGCACTACTAAGTTATAAAGCACACAGACACTTAAACAATTAGAATAGGGTTTTGGGGGTTCTTTAGTTTAACTACTTAAGTATAGCTAAGTATAATATACCGCAAACCTTATTCTAATTATTAAGGCCCCTATAAAAAAAAACACTTCGAAACGAGAGTTGGACCGAACCCCGACCAGCACCGCACCTGGCCAAGGTCGTAACGGCCGTGGGCCAAAACGTTGGCCAACGGCGTCAGCGAGATGTTCAGCCTGAGGGCTCAGGGTTTTAAGGGTTTTGCGGTTTAGGGGTTTTGGGGTTTAGAGGTTTGGGTTTAGGGTTTTAGGGTTCAGGGTTTAGGGGTTTACAGTTTAGGGTTAGGGTTTTAGGGTTCAGGGTTTAGGGCCTTAGGGGTTTACAGTTTAAGGTTTAGGGTTTTAGGGTCGGGTTTAGGGGTTTACATTTTCGGGTTTACGGGTTTAGGGCTTTAGGGTTCAGGGGTTTACAGTTTGAGGTTTAGGGTTTTAGGGTTCAGGGTTTAGGGGTACAGCTTAGGGTTTAGGGTTTTAGGGTTCAGGGTCTAGGGGTTGACAGTTTAGGGCTTAGGGTTTTAGGGTTCAGTGTTTAGGGGTACAGCGTAGGGTTTGGGGTTTTAGGGTTCAGGGTTTAGGGGTTTACAGTTTAGGGCTTAGGGTTTTAGGCTTCAGGGTTGAGGGGTTTACAATTTAGGGTTTAGGGGGTTAGGGTTCAGGGTTTAGGGGTTTACAGAGGTGCTCTAGATGCTGCGTGTCAAGGTTTAGGGTCGCGGGTTCAGGGTTTGTCGAGGTACATGCTGCGGCAGCACAGGCAAACAAGGGTTCCCAAGAGAAGGGTGCTCCTTTAGAATGCCCTGAAGCCTTAAGCCCTAAAGCCAAGACCCTACGACCAGCCCCGAACCCATTAACAGAACCTACCAGTGGTACTACCGCACACGAACACCCTAGACCCTAAACCCGTAAACCCAAAACTGTAAACCCTTAAACCCTAAACACTCAACCCCTAAACCCTAAACTCTAAACCCCTAAACCCTGAACCCTAAACCCCTACCCTAAACTGTGGACCGTTTCGTCAACTTCATAGGGTTTCGGATTAACTTACTACTGCGAGTTCATCTGAAGGTTTAGGGCTGGGGGTCCTAGGATTTAGGTTTTAGCCGGGGTTTGGGGCTACTTCAGGCCAACACAAAGAAATGGAACCGCAGACCGGAGGTCCAGTCCATCCGAACCTTCCGGACGAGGCATTCCCAGCGAGCGGTGCCCTGCAAAAAGGAAACGGCTTAGGGTTCAGGGTTTACCTTAAGAACCCAAAACCTACTTTGTTGTAGGGTCCCTATACATCCCATATTAGGGTTTATAAAAAGAACCTACAAAAAAGTTGGTTTTGGGTTCTTAAGGTAGGTGTGGCTTGCGGCATCGCTCTGCTTCTTCAGCCGAGTCACCGCTTTGTCCACTCTCGTCTGAAGGAGGGCGGGCACTCGCACCTCTCGGCCCCACAAGGGTGGGCTGCGTTTTAGGGTTTAGGGTTTAGGGTTTAGGGTTTAGGGTTTAGGGTTTAGGGCACCACCGCGGTGCCTTGCCACAAAACTTTGGCCACCATTCTGGGGTAGCCCTCACTGCCATGGCTGTTGCCCATGTTCAAGAATGCGGGATCCGCGCCAGGAACCAGGTAATTTTACCGTGCTGTTCGCCCCTTGCCCAAGAGCGTGAGTCTTGGGAGGGCTGAGCTGACATCCTTACAGTTACTACAGATAAAGCCTAAACCCTAAACCCTAAACCCTAACCCTTGATCAAGACCCTTCAAAGCTCCAAACTGAACGCCACAACACAACAGGTTCAAACCCCCAGACACAAAGCTCCAGCTGTCATCGCTGTGTGTGCAAAGTCCTAAACCCTAACCTTACGGGCTGAGTACCCTGGCCCAAAACGGGTTTAACCTTTTAGTTATTGTTCTAGTAGGCTTATATGAGCCCCAAAAGATTAAAGGTTACCTACTCAGGCCCTAGGTAACCCAAACTCCTAAACCCTCAACCCTAAACCTCAAGCCCTATACCCCAAACCCCAACTCCTAAACCTTATACCCTAAACCCTAAACCCTATACCCTATACCCTAAACCCTAACTCCTAAACCGTATATACCCCAAACCCTAACTCCTAAACCTTATATACCCTAAACCCTAATAACCTAAACCCGACCTCCGAGACCTTCCATCCAAAGCGTGTAAACTGAGCCCCGCGCCCAACCACGAAGACCTGGCAAAGGAAGGCGAAGCGCTTGATGGCCACCTTCTCGAGGCAAACTGAATCGCAAAGAAGCATTAAGTATGCCATGTAGGGGCTTTTTAGATAGATAGAACACGGACGAGATAGCACCGTGCATTTAGTGAGTGTGAAATGTCTATGCATGTTCTATGATTCGACAAGCTTGCTACAGCGTTTTGCAAAAGTTCTACAACGTTTCTATCAAGTAAGGGTTCTGCGAGATTTCTAGAAGGATTCTATTCGGTTGAGATCTTGGGCATGGCGTGGGGCTGCTGGACAGACACACCCTACGTACTTAACCCCGGACTCTAAAACACGAAGCCCGGCAGGGCCTTGGGTTTAGGGAGTTAGGATTAGGGGGACCCTTGGGGATATAGACCCTCTCAATAAGGTCCCTTTTAAGAGAGCCACAAGTAGGGTTAGGAAGGGTCCCCTTTAAGGGGTCTCCCCAATACTACCTAGGAGTTTAGGGAAACCCTAAACCCTAAACCCTAAACCCTAAACCCTAGGAGTTTAGGGATCGAAGGCTGAAGCCTCCGAAACACTAACAACCCAAAACGAAAGGGTTTAGGGTTTAGGGTTTAGGGTTTAGGGTTTAGGGCCCTATATAGGGCCCTAGGGGCTCTAGTACCCTATATAGCAGGCACCTGGCGGTTTAGGGATGCCTCTGAGAACCGGCTTGCTGCTGCTACTCAGTGGTCCCTGTAGTTGTGGTGACTTCCGCGCTAAGGCAAATGATGAACAGGTGCATGCATTATGAACATGAAATACAGTCGCTTGCCTTTGCAGTTGGGCTCTGGACTGTTGTTCTTGCCTAAGAGTCTTTGTAATTGGAATGATCCTACTAAACCTCAAACTTTATGTGTAAGTACGCCTTTTGAACCCCATATGCCATATACCCCGAAACCCGCACGAATCCTACACATGCCCATAAGCCCACAACCCTAAACCCTAAAGCCCTAAACCCTAAACCCTTAAGCCCTGAACCCGAAACCCTTAAACCCTTAAACCCTTAAACCCTGAACCCTATAAACCCTAACCCCTCTTAAACCCTTAAACCCTTAAACCCTGAACCCTAAACCCTAAACCCGAACCCCCTAAACCCTTAAACCCTGAACCCTATAAACCCTAACCCCTCTTAAACCCTTAAACCCTTAAACCCTGAACCCTAAACCCTAAACCCGAACCCCCTAAACCCTTAACCCCTGAACCC